AACTGCCGATAAAATCTACCGCCCGCTGGGTAAGGTTTCCCTCTCACGGTCAGCACTAGATCATCTGCAAATGCCTGTAGGTCAATGCCAGTTTGTTCAGCTTCTCTCAGCAAGCCGTCAACCACAAGTGACCATAGTAGGGGGGATAAAACTCCTTCTTGCGGAAACACCCTCTTCTGGCCTCGACTGTAACCGACGAGTCTCCGACCGTGGCTGATATTTCTCTGCTTTGGAGCAGAGCCATTATCCAACACACTATTTCTTGAGGAATTTCTCTGTCTATCGGTGCTTCCTCTATTGACTGATAGGACACATTACCAAAGGCTCCTTGGATGTCCATGAAGACTCCTGCTAGGATTTCCTTTTTCACTTTTTCAGTTTTTCGCTTATAAATCCTAAATAACGAATCCTACGGAAAATATTGTTCAAAGGTCTCTTTTAGTGCATTAAATTCTGCGTAGATTGGTGTTAAATACATCAAAATCGGCCGAGCCGTTTAGCCGCTGTAGCTTTTCAAAGTTAGGATATTTTCATCAACATGGCCAAAAAGTTGATTATTTGACCAGTTTTCGGCTTACAACTCCTAAACATTTTCCGTAGGAGTTATAAGTGAAAAACTGAAAACAGTGCAAAATTTTCATAGTTTTTCGACTCCCAAAACTTAAGCAGACGTCAGAATCCGTCGCAAACTCACAGGACTCTTATTTGAGACCCCCAAAAGGTATTAAAACACTTTCCAGCTTTAGACGATTTTTTGGGGAGGATATGTCTAATTTGCCTGGGCTACTGGTGCTGTTAGGGAAACAGTATATACTGATTACTCACAAGACAATAAATAGGGTACATATAAAAGATGGTAAGTGGTGATCGATTTCGATTGGACACTCCAATCATCAGACCCAATAGGCGAATCCGCCTATTGGCAGTATTGGTACATTCGCCTATTGTAACATTATCAGAATGCCAAGACAACCTACAACCCCAGTCACCATGTTGTGGCTGATCACTGTGCTGCTTTTAGCGAATTTCCCATATACAGGGTGATTGATATAAGTGTGCCAGCCGTTTTATTCGAAAACCATAAGAGATATAAAAAAAGTTAAATGGTAAGTGCCTTGGATTTTTTATTTTAAAAATTATAGTCAAGTCAAAAAAATTATTTTAGCCGCCAACTTTGATTTTTTTTATGGAACACCCTGTATTTCATGATGTATTCTGGTAGAAAATGTAATTTTAAGACAATTTTATTCTTGCAATTTTTTTCATTAACCTAACCGTTTCAAAGATAATGATGGTTTAAGTTGTGAAATTTTGAATGGTTTTGGAATAAAACAGCTGGCATGCTTGCTAAGGCCTTTATCGAAACTCTTTCTCATGCAGAAATTTCAAAACTTTAACCATTATTATCTTTGAAACGGTTAGGTTTATGAAAAAAACTACAAGAATAAAATCGTCTTAAAATTACATTTTCTACCAGAATACATCATAAAATACAGGGTGTTTCATAAGAAAAATCAAAGTTGGCGGCCATATTGGAAAAATGGCGCCTAAAATAATTTTTTTGACTTGACTACAATTTTTTTAATAAAAAATCCAAGGCACTTACCATTTAACTTTTTTTGATATCTCTTATAGTTTTCAAATAAAACTGCTGGCACACTTATATCAATCACCCTGTATATGGAATAACCATCAATCTCTATTATTGAGCGGAGCGAGCGAAGCTCTTTGAGATCGGACCTTATGCAAACTATGTAATCAATTGACTCAATAACGGCTGAACATATTGAATCCAAACTTACCAGGGGTATTTTCGAGAAATATTTTTGATGTTTCGAAACAAACAAATTTCAATTTGATAATACCTGTACATTTTTAGATTGACATAAAATTTGCAATGTTTAACATGAGTCTTATGGGTTGCCATGATGGTTTCGAGATAACAACGTAGATGTAAACAAAGAATCGTAGCGCAGGTGACTCGACATTGTGTACCCACGGGCACCTCAGCTTGCACATGCACATAAGGACAGTACAAAACAAAAGGAGTCCATTATATTTGTAGATATTAGCCTAGACACCTATTTATTATGAGATTTTTACCTTTTTTGGTAGCCTAAGGTGTCCAAAATCCTTATCTCCTGCGAGACGCGTTTCGCATTAATTACAATGCATCTTCAGTCGCTTGTCAGGTCTCAACATTGCCCACAGAAGTGGTTGTCACGATTTTCAAAACAGAGTAGGCCTACAACCTTGTGCGGTATCGCGTGTCGTCTCCCGCTCGCTTGATGTACAGTACGTGTGTGACCATGGTTGTAAAACTGTATATAAATATGTGTTTCGTGAACTGTGTTATATGTTTTGAAAATCGTGACAACCACTTCTGTGGGCAATGTTGAGACCTGACAAGCGACTGAAGATGCATTGTAATTAATGCGAAACGCGTCTCGCAGGAGATAAGGATTTTGGACACCTTAGGCTACCAAAAAAGGTAAAAATCTCATAAAAGGAGTCCAATGAATACCATTAAGCGTTGATCAATAATACATTGATTTGCATAATTTCTGGCGGCCTTACTGAACTATTCCTAGCAGATTATTCCTTTGATTGTTGTTATTGCTATTAGTTTTGTGGTAAATATTAGTCCGGAGTGTGGTAACTGTTTATGACGATTAGATTAAGGTATCTGTTATCCAAAAATGCTATGGGAAGGGAGGGAAACAGGTCCGCGACGTAGGAAGTCGTGAAGGAAGTAGTAAAGGTGAGCGGTCCGGAGTGTGGAAACTGTTTATGGCGATTAGATTAAGGTATCTACAATCTTAAAATGCTATGGGAAGGGAGGGAAACAGATCCGTGACGTAGGAAGTCGTGAAGGAAGCAGTAAAGGTGAGCGGTCCGGAGTGTGGGAACTGTTTATGACGATTAGATTAAGGTATCTACAATCCTTAAATGCTATAGGAAGGGAGGGAAATAGGTCCGCGACGTAGGAATATTGAAGGAAGTAGTAAAGGTGAGCGGTCCGGAGTGTGGGAACTGTTAATGATGATTAGATTAAGGTATCTGTTATCTTAAATGCTATGGGAAGGGAGGGAAACAGGTCCGCGACGTAGGAAGCAGTAAAGGTGAGCAGTCCGGAGTGTGGAAACTGTTTATGGCGATTAGATTAAGGTATCTACAATCTTAAAATGCTATGGGAAGGGAGGGAAACAGATCCGTGACGTAGGAAGTCGTGAAGGAAGCAGTAAAGGTGAGCGGTCCGGAGTGTGGGAACTGTTTATGACGATTATAGATTAAGGTATCCACAATCTTAAAATGCTATGGGAAGGGAGGGAAATAGGTCCGCGGCATAGGAAGTGGCGAAGGAAGTAGTTAAGGCGAGTAGTTTGGAGTGTGGGAACTTTCCTGTTTTATCCCTCACCTTCTGCCATTCTCCTCTGTCTCCTATGGCCACTTGGTAGGGTTTATCAAAGTCGTAATCATAAGATCTGAGACCGGTCATCTCCATGTCTAAACTTGGGAGTTCCCTTAGAATTGACATGTGACCCGTCCTTCTCGAAGGAGGTATTTCTCCTTTACTGCAAGTCTTCAGGGCTGTTAATGCTGCCCTTTTCTTTATATCCAGCCCGAGTGGGAGTTCGCCTAAAATTGACTCCATCACCACTGTCGGGCATGATCTTGTTGTGCCACACACCCCTGTGCAGGCAAGTCGTTGCAGTTGTTGCAGCTGCCCCAGTTTGCTCTGCCTTATGCACCACACCATGGCTGCGTATTCCACCATAGGCTTTACTATGGTTTCATATATCCACCAGATCAGTCTAGGGTTGAGTCCCCATTTTTAGCCAGATGTTCTTCGGCAGGCGCCCATGGCTCCTGTTCCCTTGGCAATGACATGATCTATGTGCCTGTTCCAAGTCAACTTCTGATCTAAGTATACACCCAGATATTTAGTCTCCTTGACTGACTTGACCCTCAGTCCCCTAATTTGGGGTGGGGTGATTTTGGTTCTCCTTTTTCTCGTGAAGGTCACTATTTTAGTTTTTGTGGGGTTGATTGTCAAACCCTTTGTGTTACACCAACTGCCGATAAAATCTACCACCCGCTGGGTAAGGTTTCCCTCTCACGGTCAGCACTAGATCATCTGCAAATGCCTGTAGGTCAATGCCTGTTTGTTCAGCTTCTCTCAGCAAGCCGTCAACCACAAGTGACCATAGTAGGGGGGATAAAACTCCTTCTTGCGGAAACACCCTCTTCTGGCCTCGACTGTAACCGACGAGTCTCCGACCGTGGCTGATATTTCTCTGCTTTGGAGCAGAGCCATTATCCAACACACTATTTCTTGAGGAATTTCTCTGTCTATCGGTGCTTCCTCTATTGACTGATAGGACACATTACCAAAGGCTCCTTGGATGTCCATGAATTCTCCTGCTAGGATTTCCTTGTGATCTAATGTGTCTTCAATTCTCACTACCAGGCTATGCAGGGCTGTTGTAGTCAATTTGCCCATCATAAAGGCATGTTGGTTCACAAACATAACATTAAATGTTTTTATGTTATGTAAATATTTGTGAACTTTGACGACCTTCGGAAGAAGTGCCACTGAATGTGAGCCGAACCTAGTTATTATACAACCGATTGGATTATCAATATTACAGGTATTTAAACCACTTTAATTGATTTATATTAGTTTTTAATAAACTACTTCGACTTTACTTTTAAAAAATTTTCCCTGACTTGCGGCCTTTGTTAAAACCTTCTCTGACTTTTTAAGTCCATGGGAACCCTGTAAGGACCATTTATCACAAACTATACAATCTAAAAAAAATATTATTATAATTTTTGAGATTCATAATCCACACTTTTGGGTACTTCCCCTAGCATTATACAGCAGAGGTCTCAATTACCCAAATTCATTTGTGACAAGATTAGAATTCTGCTTAATTTTTAAAAAGTTATTGATTGCACTTGTGTACTTATAATGTAAAGGCAATTAAACACAAATATTAAAACATTTTTGTTTATTTTTTTTAAACAAAGGTGTTTTACACTATTAGAAGAAGAACCCGAGTATCTTCCCTCCTAAGTGTTTTCGCCTGGCCTCTTCATGATCCATGATACCTCCACTGGTTGTGAGGACAACATATCTTAAAAAAAAGAATATATGATTTTTAATAGTTATTAGAGCCATTCAACATGACAACTTTTAATACACATTGAAATGTCATCAACATAATAAATAACTTGACACATACATTAACAAGAATAAATGGTAAGTAGAGGTGTGCGAGCGGCTTGATTTTCGAGCTCAGCCGCAAACTTGGGCTACAAGCTCTAGCACAAAGTCAGAAAACTGAGCTCGAGCCGAGCTTTTACTTTATAGCTATTTAAGTGTGGGAAATGATTGTGATGTGTTCACAACTGTGGGAAATCTCCTGGATTTTGCTGTGACCGCGGACAACAAAGATGACGTTTCCGTGACCGTGGTAGACGATGATAATGTCAAGTCTGCAATCAGTGGGAAATGCTCAGGATTTTTCTGTGATCGCGGATGGCGATTATAACATTTCCGTGACCGCAGAATACCATGACGATGACCACTTGTCCACGTGAGATACTCGGGATTTTGCAGCTATTGTGGATGATAATGATGATGATGATATTAAGTTTATGTGACCTTGAGGGATATTCAGGATTTTGCCACTGACGATAATGTTTCCGTAAACGATGGAGATATTCAGGATTTTGCGATTATTGCGGAAAACGATGATAACAACTTTTCTGTTACTGTGGGAGGTACTCAGGATTTTACTGTAATCGCAGAAGACTATGATGTTTTCATGGGCTTAAGAAATTACAACGATTTTTACGGATTACAGTTGTCACATGGTGATGTATGCAAATTACAGCAAATTTATGATTTATGATAAGTACTAAATTTAAAGCAATTTTTTACTCGTGACCGTATCCAACAAGCTTTACACTGAGTTTAAATGCATACCAGTTTAAAATTGAGGATTTGAGGTAGGCCTAGTGGCATTAAAATGTTTACATAAATTAATCAATTCCTCCTTTAATTTTTAAACTAATGCTACAATAAACTCCATTAAAATTTAAAAAAAAGAATTATCATATTTTTATGTTCCCTTGTATTTTTTATCTAAGACCATGAATTTTAAGAAAACATTGCCTTTTGAAGAAAACAAAATTAGGTGAAATCTATATATTTAATTCCGTAAGCGAATTAGTTCCCACAAAATTTCTCGAGCTAGGAAAAAAGGTACAGTAGAGTCCCTCAAACTCGGCGTAATGTGGACTGGAAGGGTGCCGAGTTTGTGAAATGTTGGTTAATGGAAACTAGTATTAAGAATAAGAACAATAAAATTTTTAAGCTTTTTAACCACCTTTTTTACGAATATTTATATCACAAGTCAGTATTAAGTTATCAGATATAGTAGAACAAATCGTTAATACGAGTTGTGAATGATTTGACTTGAGCTGGCTTGAGTCCATGTTTAACTCAAACTAAAAAAATCACCAATTTTCTGAGCCAGGTGATGGCCGAGTTATCCAGACTGCCGGGTTATCGAGTGCCGAGTTTGCGGGACTCTACTTCCGTGAGATGGGGGTTACTTTGTTACAAAATTTTTTTTATAACTTCAAAACTATACATACTTGAAAACGACTAATATATTTACAATAGTTACACAGTTTTTTCTTTCTTTTTCTTTCTTTTACATGATAGGCTGCTGAGCAGGTAGTTTCTGAGGGCAGCATTGAAGGTAAATACACCTGGTCCTCATAAAGATATCATTGACGGTTTGGGGAAAACTTGTATCATATCACTGTATGCTATGATATCAAAATCTTCCTGAGGGGGCCAGATGAACTTATTATTATTATTATAATTATATAATGACGTTTCCGTGACCGCGGGAGATGACGATAACGTTTCCGTGACCGCGGGAGATGATGGTGATGTCTAAACAACCGCCGGAAATGTTCACGATTTTGCCGCGATCTGAACTGTCAAGTGGTTGAACAGTAAGTCTAACGAAGATAGAGAAGAATATTTTAGAGTAAACAAAGAAACCACAAGAACCCTGCGTAAGAAAAAGAGAGAGTACTTGAAGGGATTACTAGAAAAAGCAGAAAGAGATCAGAGAGCACAAAATGCCAGAGACTTTTATAAATGTGTTAGGCACTTCAGAAGTGGATATACAGCAAATGCATTTGGCATTAAGGACAAAGAGGGCAATATTTTAGTACAGAAACAGGAAGTGACCAACAGATGGAGAGAGCACTTTGAGGAGTTACTAAATGGGGAAGAAATTGACAATAATGAAGAAATCCCCATATACCATGGTGTACAACCTCTTGTTGAGAATCCAAGTATTGAAGAAGTAGAACAAGCATTAAATTCCTTAAAGGATAACAAATCTCCTGGAGAAGATGGTATAGTAGCAGAATTATTTAAAAAAGGTGGCAGGTCTACACTAGAAAAACTCCATGATATAATATGTAGAGTATGGAACGAAGAAAAAATGCCAAAAACATGGAAAGAATCTATGATAGTGCCAATATATAAAAAAGGAGACAAAGGAATATGTGGAAATTACAGAGGAATATCTTTGCTCAGTCATGGATATAAAGTTTTATCAAAGATTATTCAAAAGCGACTCGAGGAATACACAAGTAGTATAATAGAGGATCACCAGGCAGGATTTGTAAAAGGGAGATCTACAATGGATCAGATTCACATACTTAAACAAGTTATTAGTAAGCACTGGGAATACAATAAAGAAGTACATGGGCTTTTCATTGATTTTTCGAAGGCCTATGATAGCCTTGACAGAGGAAGAATATATCAGCAGATGGAAAAGTTTGGGATCCCCAGAAAACTAATAAAACTAGTAGAAATGTCCTTGAATGAATCAAAATGCAAAGTAAAAATAGATGGAGAGTTATCAGAAAGCTTTAAAGTAAGAACAGGCGTAAGGCAAGGTGATGGAATGTCACCTATATTATTTAACATAGCCTTAGAAGAGGCCCTCCAACAAGTAAGACAAACAAATATAGGTTTAGAAATGGGAACAAAAATAAACATCCTAGCTTTTGCGGACGATGTAGTAATTCTGTCAAAAAACAGAAATGACCTAGAGGAGCTAACCAGACTGTTCATAAAAAAATCAGAAAAAATGGGCCTAAAGATTAATGATGAGAAGACAAAATATATACACTTCACGAGACAGCCAAATGAAGTGAGGACAAATGAAATTAGTATAGATGGACATACTTTTGAAGTTGTTGAACAATTTAAATATCTAGGGGTAATTATATCAAGCAGCAATAGTGAAGAAATGGAAATAAATTATAGGATTGCTCAGGCCAATAAATGTATGTATTCTTGTAAGAAATTGTTGACTTCAAAGATTCTCTCACATAAAACGAAAATAAAAATATATCATAGTATAATTCGACCAGTATTAACATATGGAGCTGAAACTTGGATTTTAAATAAAAAAGAAGAAAACAAAATGATTGTTTTTGAAAACAAAATTTTAAGAATGATCTATGGACCAATACAAGAAAATGGAGAATGGAGAAAAAGGCATAATAGGGAGATAAGGAATATGTACAATGATTATGATGTAGTAGCACACGTGAAAGCAAGGAGAATAAGGTGGGCAGGACACGCACTACGGAGAGAACGAGGTTCACTACTAAAAGAAGCAAGTATAGGAAAGCCAGAAGGGAAACGACCATTAGGAAGGCCCAAGAAGAGATGGTGGGATAGTGTTTCCAAGGACGTCAGAGAAGTGGGGGCAGAAGTGGAAGAGGCAGAAGATCGAGAGAGATGGAAAGCAGTTGTTGGTGCGGCCAAATCCCGCCTTGGGCATAAATGGCCATGGGAGTAAGTAAGTAAGTAAGTAAGATGGTGGCAGATCGGAACCTTTCTCTGTACCAAAAATCTTTATTTTTTTCATTTTTTTAAGAGACATGAATATCAACCTACAGTAGAACCTCTTTAATCCGAACTAATTGGGACCAGGGGTAGTTCGGACTATTGAATAGTTCGGATTACAGAACATATTGTTGATTTTACATAACAATAGCTAAAACATGGCTAAAATTGATCAACATTATTTTGGGGAAAAGTGAAAAAATGTTTTATAAAGTAAAATACAGTGTTTATTTAATACAGTAGTAATCATGGTGAATAAACAGTTACTGTAAATTAAATACAGTAGGCTATACAATAAAGAACTGCTGTACTGTGTATAGAGTACAGCAATGAGGGGTTCGGATTAGTGGACGTTCGGATTACGGGGGTTCGGATTAAAGAGGTTCTACTGTATAACTAAGGTATCATAAAAAAATACCTAGAAGGCCCAATCCTTTGTAATTTTTTGTGTTAGCAAAAGAGTTTTGTTGAGTTTGAAAAAAGAAGGTCTCAGTTAATATTTTTTTAAATTTTAAAAACAATATCGCACTAAACTTTATGATATATTATTAAAGTAAATAAACCAAGGAATTAGAAAATGTGTAATAGATGCAGAATATGACATATTTAATGTGTGTTACATAGTCAAAACATTTTTTTTACTTTTCGTTCATAGTAGCCCCATCTGACAGTAGCATGGATGTTGAGGATCCATTTTAAAGCTTAAGATCCAAGGACGGTGGGAAAAATATCAGAAATGTCAAAAATTACCCCTGCTCTGCCCCACAAGCCGTTAAAGATCCAGTTAAAATTTTCTAATGGAAGAAATGCTACACAGTCAGGGTGTCTACTACATTCTGGATAAAAAATTCATGGACAATTCCCGTACATTTAAGGACCTTTGTCGGTGAGATTGCAGAATAATTTTCCTGATTTGTCAAACTGTATTAATCTTGTTCTTAATTGTAGTTGTTCCAGAGAGAAAAGTAAATAATAATAGACAAGAATTAAATTTCAAAATAGAAACTTATTTTTTGTCTTATGAAAGTAAACAAACATATACTTTAGGTACAGCTTTTATAATGCAACAGAAAAACGCAATTACTGTCTCCTGCAATAGCGACAAAATCCTAAATATCTCTCCATCGGTCACGGAAACATTGTAACATAGCTTATCCGATCCAGGCGGATTAATTTGGCATT